TATTAGGGGGAATTAGGTCATTAATTGGGGGAATTGGGTGGTTATTAGGGGGTATGAGGTGGTTATTAGAGGGTATTAGGTCATTAATTGGGGGAATTGCGTGGTTATTAGGAGTTATTAGGTCATTAATTGGGGGATTGGGGTGGTTATTAGGAGTTATTAACTCATTAATTGGGGGAATGGGGTGTTTATTAGGGGTATTAGCTCATTAATTGGGTGGTCACGTGAGGCTATTAGGTGGTTATTAGGGGAATGGGTTAGTAATTAGGGGGAAATTGAGAGTAATTAGAGAGTAATTGGGGGTAATTAGGGGAGAACTGAGGGTAATTAGAGGGGAATTGAGAGTAATTAGAGAGTAATTGGTGGTAGTTAAGGAGAAATTGGTGGTAATTAGGGAGAAATTGATGGTAATTAGAAGGGAATTGGCAGTAATTAGAGGGGAACTGAGAGTAATTAGATGGGAACAGGGTAATTAAAGCAGAACTGAGAATAATTAGAGGAAAATTAGGGTAATTGGGGTAATTAGGGGGTAATTGGGGGTAACTAGAGGGGAAACAGAGTAATTACAGGGAAATTCAGAGTAATTAGAGAGTAATTGGGGTTAATTAGTGGGGAATTGGCAGTAATTAGAGAGGAACTGAGGATAATTAGAAATAGAGGGTAATTACGGGTTAATTGAGAGTAATTAGAGGGGAACTGAGGATAAGTAGAAAGGAATTGAGAGTAATTAGCGGAAAATTGAGGGTAATTAGCGATAATGGGGGTAATTAGAGAGTAATTACAGGTAATTAGGGGGGAACTGGAGCTAATTAGCGTGGAACTAAGGGCAATTAGTGCGGCATTGCGGCTCATTAGAGCATATTAAGGGCTAATTGGGGCCCACAGCGGCCGATGGGGGGACGCCGAGGTCTCTTAAACCCCAATTAGCCGCAACCGAAGGTTAATTAGCGCTTAATTAGGGCCCGCAGGCTGCGGGGCGGACGCTGCGCGTGCTGGAGAAATGCGGCAGGAATTTACTGCACTTCCGGCCCCCCCCCGCCTGGCAGCGCCTGCGCTGCCCCAGCCCGGCCCTGCGCCCCGACCCCCCCGTCATCCAGGTTCGTTAGCGCTAATTAGCGCTAATTAACGCCGCCTCACCCCGGCCCTCCTGTTGGCCTGGGCCTGGGGATGCGCCTGGCCACACCCCCCTTTTCCCCCTAGGCCACGCCCCCTTTTCCTCCAGGCCACGCCCCCTTTCCCCAGGCCACGCCCCCTCTCCCCCCCAGGCCACGCCCCCCCTTTTC